ATGAGGTATCAGGCTCCGCAGCTTCATTTGCATTGCACTGCCTGCACTGCCTGCCTTTTGAACAAGGCAGCACTCACAAGGTTTCAGGCTCCGGAAGCTTCATGCGCAAGTGACAAGCCGGTCAGATACCGACTTTGCAGTTCATCGGTTCACGCACTGCGCCGACTCAGATCAGTTCAGTTCACGTTCATGATTAAGCTGCATCCTTGACTTTTTGTTTCTTGCGAAACCTTTTTCCGTTGCCGCGGGGTTTTTTGTCGGTCCCCTGGTGGAATTCCCTCGGTTTGGTTTTGTGTGCTTGGGTTTTTTTCGTTTTTCGTCCTTGAAAATCTTTTGCTGTTGCCGCGGGGTTTTTGGAGGTCCCCTGGTGGAATTCCCTCTGCTTGGTTTTGTGCGCCCGGTTTTTCGTCCTTGAAATTCTTTTGCTGTTGCCGCGGGGTTTTTGGCGGTCCCCTGGTGGAATTCCCTCTGTGTGGTTCGTGTCCGCCCCACCGGGGCTTTGTGTGTGTGAACCGTCCTGGAGCACGGACGTTAAAACCTTTGGATTTTTTTCCTGAGCAGGGGAGTGCGGCATGACTGAGGGACCGCACTCAACGAAGCTACCTCAGTCATGGGATATCGGATCTGATCAATCCGACGTACCTGCCTATTTCTTGAACCTCTTTCCTGATTCCTTTTGCGGTTTCTGCCTGTTGCTGTTGCTTCCTGTTCGGTGTCGATGTTGTGACCTGTCGATTTGCATTTGCATTCAAGCACTTTTACTGACTGCGGTTTTCATCTCGGCTAGTGAAGCCTCTCGAGATAAGTGTGTGTGTGTGTGTGTGTGTGTGTGTGTGTGTGTGTGTGTGTGTGTGTGTGTGTGTGTGTGTGTGTGTGTGTGTGTGTGTGTGTGTGTGTGTGTGTGTGTGTGTGTGTGTGTGTGTGTGTGTGTGTGTGTGTGTGTGTGTGTGTGTGTGTGTGTGTGTGTGTGTGTGTGTGTGTGTGTGTGTGTGTGTGTGTGTGTGTGTGTGTGTGTGTGTGTGTGTGTGTGTGTGTGTGTGTGTGTGTGTGTGTGTGTGTGTGTGTGTGTGTGAACCCCCTTCTTCATGTTTGTTTTTTTTGGGGCAAGCCAAAAGTTGAAGACCCGAAAAATCCCGAGTTGGGCACCCCCAACTAAACAAACCCAAAGGACACGGGTCGTCCAAATGGCCCCCGCCTGTATGCCGGGTCGTCCATGATGCATGCCGGCGGCATTGGGTCCGACTTCGGCCTCAGCTAAGAAAAACTCGGCCAACCGGTGAAAACGGGTTCGCCAACCGGCGTCCTTTTGAGCCATGGCAAAAAACGGGCGTGAGGTTGTGTTGTCTTGCTGTTGGGGGGGGGGGGGGCCACGCAAGAGCGGAAGAATGAGACCACCAGAAGCATGTTGGTATCTTCACACTGCACATCCTGTACTCATAGTGTTGAACATCTTCCCGAGCTTCTCTCTGACTTCATGGGGAAGCCACAAAAAATACAACAACAAAAAAAGCACTTAATTCAAACTTGTGGGAATGGCATCTCTTCCCTGGTCTTTTCCTCTGACTCAAACAAACGCCGACATCTTGGTTGACGTTGGAAGGGAAGCAACAACTTAAATCTTCGCAGTTGAGTGGTTGGATTTCCACTCAACCACAATAAGCAAACATGGTTCAAAGGTTTCCCAACAACAACCATGTGGTGCTTGTCAGGGTGCATGCCTTGCTTGGAATGCAAAAAAGTTGGAAGGCATCACCCGAGGTTCTTTCAGGGGTTCCACACCTCTAACCCCTATGGGGATACGGCCGATACGGGGGGCGGGAGGAAGGGGCACAGCTGTAGCGGGTTCCACGACATCCCCCGACCCGACCCACCGGCGGACCGCGCGGCACGCGCTTCGTCTCGGCCCCAGGCTTGAGCTCGCGCTTGGCCCAGGGCTCGCGCTTCAAGTCCTCACGGCTCGGCGGCCTGTGACCGGTGGAGTGCCCTCGGTCGGTGGGTAGGGGGATTTTGTTCTTGGGGTTCCATGGGGTTTGTTGAAAGCTCTTAGAGTTGCTTAGGGAAGGGGGGTCTAATTGTTCACCCCATATTCATCAAGCAACTAGTTTATTGATGGGGGTCCCTGGGTTTAGTGGGGATTATATGAATTTCAAGCCCGGTTAACTTTTGTTGCCGGGGGTGTCCGGATTCATCACTGTTGGAGACCCCCCCTATTAGTAATCCGGGGTTGACTCACATTCTGGAATCCCTCAGTCCTCAGTAGGTACAAGGGGGTTGCTTAGGGTTCCATGGGGGTTTCTTAGGCTGAGACGTAGTAGCGAACCCCCTTGCACCACCTGGACACCATGGTTGAAACCATAACATTTTGGTGCGAAATGGATTTCGTCCATCAGTAGCTTCCAAGGGTCTGGGTTGGCCCAAGAGGGGTACAAAGGCGGCGGGTGGTTGAGAGCTGGCTTTGGGTTCCTTACAGTTCCATAGGCTTTCTTGGTTCGGGAGCCTTAGGGCTTGATCGTTCAGGAACCTTTCCAGTCACAAGGGTGGGAAACCTGTTAACCCATCCGACCAACTTGTTGAAGGGAAACCACAGGAACTGGGTCCCCCAGTAGTGCCCTTTTACCCTTGTTTGGGGGAGGGTTCCCCCACTAAAATAGACAAAAAAGAAAAAAGTTGGTTCCCTTATCCTGACCTCTCTATTTTAATGGGACACTCTTCCCAAAGAAAGGATGGGCACCGGGCACCAGGGAAGTGCTCAATCAAGCTGAAACTCTCTATCCCCGGGTTCTTGCCGAAGATTGCAACTCCGCGAAAAATAGTCGAAAGGAACAACAAACCAAAAAGGAAACCCAAAGGGGATGCGTATCTTGTCCTATCCTTTTTTCCAGAGCCCCAAAGGAAACACCAGGTGGGGTTGGCATTTTATCCTGACATTTGTCCGATTGAATTGTTCGAAGGCGGGGGGTGAATGCACCGAGGGAGGGGTTGATGAACCTTTCTGCGATGAGTTTCAGTGAACGAATTGGGATGCGTGGAGATGGGGGGACTCTAAAAAATGTGGCTTTGCTCTTGATGTTCTTTGAGCCAACCCTGAAACCATGATCGCCTCCAAAAAAACTACACACCCAAATGGATGCCACATGGAACAGTTGCCGCAGGGCTTTGCCACCGACCGCACCAAGGACATTTGCCATCGACTGCTAGAGGAGGCTGCAGAAAACCTCCAGGAAGCCTCAAATAAGCAACGGACACCAACCGACAAAAACACCGACCGCAAAAAGCAGACAAACCAGAAGCTGAAGTCCCCTCCCACCTAGAACATACCATGGCCCCTCTTTCTTTTTGGGACCCCCCCCCCCTTTTGGTGAAAAGCAGGTGGCGGGGTGGGGTGGCAGCCCTCGAACCAAACCGGTCCTCCAGGACGATCTGATCCTGGAGCTCCTCGGCGTCTTCGAAAAGCGGAGAGCGAGCGAGCGAAGGCTTTTAGAGCGCTGGGTGACCTCCTAGTCGCTGGAGGTCACCTCTGAAAATGGAGGGGGGGCGTTCTCAAGGTCGTTTTTTCTTATTTGTTGTTCCCACTTGTTGTTTCTTACCCTTTTGGAGGTCTCCCCTGCAAAAATGGTTTAAAGGGACTCGATCTCACGACTGGAAAAATATGTAGCTTTTTGTTTTGAGTGGACTTAAGCAAAGTTGATGACATGCACTCGTTAACCTCCTGGTAACTCAGATGCCAAGTGGATGTCCATGGGAGAAAAAAGAAAAAATAATTGGCATCCTTTTTTGGTTGGTTGATTCTAAAGGGGAAAAAGGGAAAAGGGGCGCCACTGGGCAACTGGGCTACTTAAATTAAGGAGCGTTGTACTTAGTAAGTGATTAGCAAGCCTGGTTACAACATGTGGTCAGCTAAGTTTGGCGTAAATAGCACCTTTTCTTGGTGAGCTCATGATAAAGGTCCTTTGCTTGGGGATCCGATTCTTAATTCAGCTTTTGAAGTTACTTGCTGGTGCGAGAGATGCAGGGAATGAGAATTGGAGTCTGACCCCGACAAAAACCATCCCCGAGTTCGTTTCCTTTTTTCGGGAGTCCCCTTCCGGTTTATTCCCTCATTCCCTGCTGAGCACCAGCAAGTTGATCCCATGCTAGTTACCCTCTTAATGGTATGTCACGAATCCCGCCCTAGACTCAAAACGTGTAGTCCAGTCTCGGGGTATGGCTCGGAACTGCCAAGGTTGGAGGCAGGTGTGGTGAACGCTGGTATGATGTGTCAAAGTTGGGGGCCGGTTTCTCTGCCTGGCATTGTTCCTTTCATTTCCCTTTGAACCACCAAACAATTTTGCCCACAAAACTCACACCAATATTCAGATCAGAAAGCAATGGTTGCAGTTTGACATATCTACCCTTTCTTCAAAAGCAAACTGATCTTCCACCTACTACAGCACCACATACTTTGCTTTGCGGTCGTGCCTTTGGCGCTTTGGGAATTGGGGAGAATTTGGGCAATTGAGGGAATTGGGGAAATTTGGTGGAGCGATTCCAATTTGGCGGTGGGTCAAAACCAATGGGATCCCATTTTGGGGTAGGTGAATTCACCGCCCATTTTAGTCTCTTTTAGTGGGGATTGTGTCTCAAACTCCGCATCGGTGTTTTTCCCCCGCGAATCCGAGTGTTCTTCGGGGCCATTTGGCTGCGGCTCAACAAGATGCACCAAAATGGCACCTGGGTAACCGGAGCCAAAGACTTTTTAACCTGGCGGTTTGCCCCTCCGCCCTTTGATTCTGAGCCCCGCCCATTTCTTCACGCCAAAGCGCCGTCATGGCGATGGGCGGAGCGCCCACCGAGCCGCTCTTGCCGGCGCCCTGCGACGTCCATCGAGCGATCGGGCCTCGCGGCCTGAAGCAGACCACAAGTAGCGATCGGGGCTCGCAGCTGGTTGCCTCTTTAACCGGAAATGGATCCATCCATGGTATGACCCCCTGATCCAGGAGTTTGACTTGTTGCAGGTAAGTTGGAAAAGACCTCCCGATTTATTTCTGGGCCCTCAAGATGGGTTGTGTTCAAATTGCCCCTGAGGGGTCCGGGTTCTTCAGAGGGCCCGGGGGCCTGCACTGGAGGGGTCATGAGCCTTAGGGTGGTTGCCTCTTTAACTAGGTCCAGTGGAGATGTTAGAATAAGGCAACCCACTTTTGTCGGTTCTGTCTATTTTAGTAAGGGAAGCCTCCCCCAAAAAAGGGGAGAGAAGGGCACTACTGGGGGACCTAGTTAAGGATTGCTGGGGCTTGTGGGCGACGTTGGCGCAAAAGATTCTGCCCTTCGGGGACGGGGCGGGCAAAGTACATAAGGGGAGCTCAGTACCTATCGGATCCATAGCCGAGGATTGAAGAAGCGACAGCGGTCGTTGGGTCCCCCCCTGTCTTGGGGGGGGGGCTGGTTCTGTTTCGGGATTGGTGTCCTTTAAAAAAACAAATAGATGGCGCATTCACAAATATTTAGAAGGAGCCCGCCGGCTTGCTGGGACGCCAATGCCCTGACCGAAGAATTTGAAGGTGCAGCTTCCTCTCAGTCGAGTGGCTGTTTCGGGCGGCAGGTAACCGGCAGGTCAAGATGCAAATGATCATTTGGGGATGATTCCCCATTCTTTTCAACCGTTCTTGTGAAAAACCGGATCCGTTTTTTCTGGGTTTCTGGAAGGCTTTCTAGAAAGAAGGGATCCCTGGCAAGAATGGGGGGGAGCTACCCCCAGAACTATCATTTGGGGGGGTTCAACATGCAGCTTCTCAGTTCATATGGCGGTTCCTTGGAAGGAACATGCAGCTTCTCATTTGGCTCGCGAGGCTTTCCTGGGCTGAAGCGAAGATTTTGACCCACAACCGGCGGCCATTTGACCTGTTTTGATGGTGCCCCTTGCGAGGAAACTCAAAGGAAAACAAGCCTCCAACTACTTTCAAGCATAGAACATTGCACCCATGTGGGACAATCTTCCATTTTGAAGCCGAAGGGTGGCCTGGGGGTCCCAGGGCGGGCTCCAATGAAGAACCCGGACCCCTCAGGAACCCTTGAAACAACCCATCTCGAGGGCCCAAAAATAATCGGGAGCCTTAGGGCACATGTTCCTAGGGAATGACCCCGAAGAAAAAAACAAAACAACAACATCCCTAGCAGGGATCCTTACATTATAACCTAACATGAACATTGCAACTTGTAAATTGGTTTCCCTTTTTATTTGAAATGAAAAAGCCACATGTTTCAAATGGTTGCAAAATGGAGATCTTTCAAGGAGCCCTGGTTTACTATGACCATAATCATGATTGCATTGATCTGCCTCCCAACACCATGGCACATATTGATCTTTTAAGGAGCCCTGCCTAGCCAGCTCCTTGAAAATCTGGCTTCCTCTTGCCCAGCCCATTCCACGAGCTGAGCCCATCTTCGAGCCTCGATGGTGTGAGCCTGGTCCATCTCCATCGCGGTGGGCATGCGCATCATCCTTCCCATCCGTTGTTTGGTAAATATACTAGGAAAACAAACAAAAAAACACGCCAAAAAAACAACCAACAAAAAACGGGTGCAGCGAGTTTTTGTCCCGCTTTTGGGGCCATGACGTTTCAAAACGAAACGTCCCAAAGGAGAAGACTTGCTGGTGCGATGGGCAGGGAATGAGAAATGGACTGCCCAGGCTGCGGCTCTTGGGATGTACCGAAACTCAGGCAGGGCCACGATTTGAGCTTCCTTTACAAGCCATGCGGGGAATGAGGGTGTTTCTTGCCAAGCTGGGAATAAGTCTTTGTTACTTTACTCCGCGCCGGGTCTAAGAAGGGAACCAGTCTTCTTTGCTTTTGGAGATGGGAATGAGAATTGGAGTCTGACCCCGAGACAAATTATTGATTTCCGTGTTCATTCTTCGGGAATCCCCCGGTTCATTCCATTTCGCATTCCCTGCTGAGCACCAGGAAGTCTTCACCTTTGGGATGTTTCGAGGGCAACCTCCTGGCCCAAAAGTGGACATCTTAAGATCCAGCCAGATTCTTTGAGGCTACTAGCTTTTGGGCTGAAATTGACGGGAACAAGGGAAACCATCCCGGTCCAGATCCATGGGATACATACCCGTGTGGCGTTGCCTGCCAACCGCCTGACCATGCAAAGGACACCCTTGATTCGTTGGCTTCTCAGCTTGGCTTCTCCAACATCGTCCCAAAGCTCACGGATTATCCCCTGAGAACCTTGGAGCAGAACAAAGACCCAAAAAAAGCAAACCAAAAAAAGCAACTAAGCAAAACTTGGATCGCAACACAAAAAAAAAACAAATAGGTTGGACGTTCGATGATGGCAGACTCTACCCAGATCTGGTGGCTCCGACTCCGACATCCGCTTCTTCCCGCGATCGGCGCTTCCCGTCTTTGCGTGCCAGTTGCCGAACCAGTTGCTGTCGATGAACTGAGGCGTGAGCGGCCGAACGCGAAAATCGGAGGCCAAACCGAGGTCTTAGTTCCTAGGTCCTCCAGTAGAGAGGTTAGGATAAGTTGGTACCAACTTTTTTTCGGTTTTGTCTATTTTAGTAGGGGAACCCTCCTACGAAAAAGGGGAGAGAAGGGCACTACTGGGAGACCTAGGTTCTGTTTTACGCCTCGGCTTTGGCCCTCAATGGTTGGCGGGCATCAAGTTCAATGATGTCCACCAAAAGGCTGATTTTGTGGCGGGCGGGTTTCAATGATGTCCGCCAAAAGGTGGATTTCCCAACAAGGCCACACCCTGCTGTCCACGTTGACGCGTGTCACCGGGGCTCAATTTCTCCACGGCGTTGACAACCCATGCAAGCCAAGGGGAAAATACAATTGGCGAGCCCCCTGAATTCTGAATTGGCTGGAGATTTGGTGAGTCCCCGCATGTCCCTCGCAAATTGACTGGATTCTTTGCTGCTTGCCAGCGGCGAATCGCGGCCAACTGTCCTCCCTTTCTCCCAATCGAATGGCTGCCTAGGTTTCACACACACAAACATGGGCTCAAAATTAAAGAGCTAGGGTTACGCAGGTTTTGGTCCATGTTTCCACTTACCAGGGCAACCCATTTTGGAATTCCGGTTTTTTGAGCCATACCCATATTGGCCGGCTTGGGGCAGCCAAAAGGAGATCAACCACCTACAGGGGTCGAGGGGCTGAGCCAAGGAACCCTCGGAGCAAACCAGGGGCAGCAATTCGCAATTCGCATGGTGCTTCGCGGCTTCAGTCGCTCTCAAGACCTGAAGAAACTCAAGATTCCCCTCGGTTCACACCAACAAACAGCATGCTTTGCAAAAGTGTTGAAACCGTTGTCTATAGTGGGAACCTGGAAGTGAAGTATAGCGATACGCTGGCAGAAAGCCTTTTGTGCTTTTGATCTCGTATACTAAAGAATCCGAATCCGAATCTTTCTGCCGACTCATCGTGAGTCTGAGGGGCTTCGAGTGATTACAGTCCTGGAAGCAGCTTCCCGCTCCCGTGGGTGAATTGGCATTTGCCATGTTGAAAAACAAACATGTGGACTTCCCCAGCCAGGTAGCGTATGTATTATATATACATATATATGTATATACACATGTATTTAGTCCAGCACCTCTGGTGTGGCTCCCTCCAAAACAGGGAGAAAACCCAAGAGCGAACCTTGCGGATCTTCTTGGGCACCAAGGCCCCCTCCCCAAAGAGGGGAACCTCCGGCAAGGCCCATAGAAGCAGGGCATAGGATGTCTAAGCATCCAGCGATGAGGACGATGGCAGCGCACGTATGGCCCTCAGCTTTGGGGCCGAAGGCAAGACGAACCCAAAAGCTTTTTCATGATCCTGGTGCATAGTTGGTGAAGCTCACAAATCTAAACGTGAAAAGAGGTGCCAAGAGAAATCTAAATGGGGCATTGTTTGTACCCTGTGGGGTTGTTTTGAAGGGGACCTGAAGGAAACTCCACTCGTTTTTCCCCAGATCATTCTCAACAATCAGGGACCTAGAGGGGGCCCACAAAAGGTGTACGCAGAAAAAAGATATGCATGTCCAACCGCATCATATAGTCAACCCTATGCGCAACCTTCTGGAGACCTCAGAAACCCTTGAGCGCGGGCTTCGGATGTGTCAACCCTCTCTTCCGGGGAATCGAACAGGTCTTGGCCATCAAAACATCCTGGCCTTCCACGGCTACAAACTTCCCACCGAAGACGACGCGAATTTGTGGGAGGCTAGCTACCTGGATCGTCGATCCCCAAAAGGACAACCCAACAAAAATTTGGATGGTCCAAATCCCAAAAAAAAGTCACATGCCCGGGAAACGCCTGGAGTCTCCTTCTGCCCCTTTACAGATGGGGTCATGCCACTTTCATTTTGGGCAATGAGAGAATTTTCCTTCTGGTCATGGAGGCTCCAGGTACCTGGAAGATCAAATCCTCTCTCTGTCAAGTGTTGTGGCAACGTGGGAAGAAGGGCATGATCTCAAGTTTGAAACAGATCCGACCTGAAAGTTTCGTCACGCTGAAACTTGAGGAGAACTGGAAGAACCGAACAAAGATGCTCGCAACATCTGGTGAGCTAAGAGTGGCACTGTCTCCAGCGCTTCGCTCGCGCAACATACAGGGTTCCCTATATTTCCCCTTTTGGTTGTAAACTGCGCCTGTTGGGCCAGTCCAACGTGAGTTGCCTTTTCGTTGGGTAATGCTGTTGTTGGAGCTAGGTCCTCCAGTAGAGAGGTTAGAATACGGGTACCCTTTTTTCGGTCGTCTATTTCAGTAGGGGAACCCTCCCAACCAAACAAGGGGTTAAGAAGGGCAAAAAGGGTGAGAAAGAGCACTACTGGGGCTAGAGAGAGAAACACGTAGATCCGAACCCGTCTTTTTCTCTCACCCGCCGTGCCCTTTGGCCAAACCGCCCGGACCTGGACGGAGCATTTTAGCACCCGCCCCCGATCGGCCCATCTGCAAGGGGCGTCCGTTCATCTCACCCTCTGGACCCAAACCGACATATCAAAGCAGTCAATGACGGAGAGGGACTCACGTGGTGTGGCTCAAAATGGAAGAGCTAGGGCAAACCGCAGGTTTTAGTCTTTGGTTCCATTTACCAAGGAGCCATTTTGGCACATTTTTTTTCAGCCACAGCCACGTGGCTTGGTCCTTTTTCTTGGATTTGGAGCCATGGTTCTTTTCCTGTTGTTTTGCCTGAAACCAAAAAAAAAGACAAACAACATCTTGAAGAAGTTTAGGATTTGGACCCAACAAATTGCGGTTTTCCTTGTGTTTTCCTTCAAACAAAACCAAATAAGGGGTAGCCTCAAAGCAGACGAGCATGGAAAATTAATTGCGGTGGCTTCCTGAAAGGTTGCGGTGGGAAATGGATCCTTCACTAGGTCCAAAGAGAGTAAAGAGGTCAGAAGGGCACCAGCCTTTTTCGGTTTTGTCGATTTTTGTGGGTGCCAACTTTTTCAGGTTGGAATAAGTTGGTACCCAACCGTTTTTTTTCGGTTTTGTCCATTTTAGCAGGGGGACCGAATCTCCCAACCAACAAAGAAACGGGTGAGGTTCGGTCGGGCACCAATTGCTGGACCGAGTTCAATGACTTTGGGCAGGCCCTTGAAGTGTGCCCGGGTTTTCTGGCCCTCTGGAGTTGAGAGAAAAGAAACATCGCTGCGGATCAAAATCGGCACCCATTTTGGGAACCCTGGCAAATGGAACCAAGGACTAAAACCTGCGGTCCAATTCGTGCTTTAATTTTGACCCATGCCCATATTTTGAAGTTTCGAGTGTGGGGTGTCGGCTCGGAAGGCGAAGCCTCGGAAAAAAAGAAGAAGAAAAGAACCCTTTTGGATTTTTCCATTTTAACCAGATCCAAAAGCGGAAGGAAAGGTCGAACATTCGGTGAACTGGGTGATCGGCTTACCTTTAGCCCACAAGCCCAAAGGGGTTCTGGATGTGAGTTGAAATGTTCGTCTTCGTGCTGGAACACAAGCCATCATCTGCAAGTGGTATTTGAAGCATAAGCTCAGTTGTCTGAAGATGCTGGAAGTACAAACGTTTAGCTTCTTTGGGAGGGGGCATGCCTAAAAAACCAAGCAATGGAGCAGACTAGACCCCCGAAGTTGCGGTGTTGAGTCTGGTTTCCTTCAAAAACCAACACACACACACACACACACACACACACACGCACGCACGCACGCACGCACGCACGCACGCACGCACGCACGCACGCACGCACGCACGCACGCACGCGCGCGCGCGCGCACGCACGCACGCAGGGCAGGGCAGGGCAGGGCAGGGCACGGCGCGGCGCGGCGCGGCGCGGCACGGCACGGCACGGCACGGCACGGCACACGGCACGGCACACCACGGCACGGCACGGCACGCCACGCAAACAAACATACAAACAAACAAACAAACAAACAAACAAACAAACAAGCAAGCAAGCAAACAAACAAACACACACGCGCGCGCACGCCAAAAAGACAACAAACACATGAGGGGGAAACAAAAGACAGATGACCCGGACGGTTCCCTTGCAACATGGCAAGCTCGCCCGGCCGAGGGTCGGCACCGAGGCGTTGCTCGGGTGAACTGATTGCGAAAAGTTCAGATCTCAGGATTCAGCGTCAGATTTGGGTCCACCCTCCCACTAACATGGCACCTGCCAGGGGGGTTCCTTAAGAGGAAATGGATCTTCCAGGTACCTCCCCACAGGTGCCATGTTAGTGGGAGGAAGGGTACCTACCCTCCCAAAATGAAGGAGGCATGACCCCATCTATAAACAGTCCCGGAGACTCCAGGCATGTGTTGTTGTTTGGATTTGGAACCCCAAAATGGTGGTTTTCCTTTTGGTTTCCCTGAAAAAAACACAGAACCAACAAAAACGCCAGCTAGCTGGGGCTTACCATCATGATCTTTCCATCTACAAGTCCACTAGCAAACCGGGGCGTCAGTTACTCATGCTCCAATGATTGCAAGGCCAACCTTGGCCTCGGCAAATGATCCGAAGGAACCCTCCAAGAAAGCAGATCCATCTTTGGAGGCAGCTCCTGGTCATTGCCCGCAGCTGGGGTACAGAACATCATACGTTCACATTCTGTTTCATAAATTTCGTCTACCGCCAGCTTTGGAAATAAAAAAACAAAAACCAAAGAAAAAAACTGTTTCGGAAAAATCGGACTTTCCGTCTTGGTTCCTCCCGTTCAATTGCGGAGTTGGCACGGCGCGAACAGCTGATGCGGTCAGTTCGAGGACGCTGTCAGACAGGGAAGCGCAGGCCTGCAGCCAGGTATTGCTTCCAATTTGGCAGACGACTTCTGCGATACCAAAACAAATGGGTCATTCCAAGGCTAGCTCCTCCAGAGAGGGTAGAATAAGGGTACATGTTTTTCGTTTTTTCCGGTTTTGTCTATTTTAGCGTTTCAGTAGGGGAACCCTCCCAACCAAAAAAGGGGATAAGAAGGGCACTACTGGGGGACCTAGAAGGAGTACTTCGCTACTTTGAAGGGGCCTATGTCCTACTGTGCATATCTCTGATGGACAGTATTTTTTTGGCCAAGCACCTCAGATGGTGTCTGGTGGATGTGGTGGTCCACAGAACCCTCCGGAAACCGCGCTGAAAGCTGCCCCAAGCCACCCCAGAGCCTGTCTGGGTAGAGACACCACAGCTTTCAGGAGCCTCAAATCGAGGCAGCCTGTGCGCTGCCACATCCGAAAGTGCAAAGCAAGTGTCTCATCTGCAAGTCTTGTCAGTCATGTGGCCATGGGTCAAAAGCCAAATCGCACCCCCAGTGAACATCCCAATCCAACCACTAAAATAGGTTCTAAAATGGGTGGTGAATTCACCTACCTCAAAATGGCATCCCGTTTAACGGTTTTGACCCACAGCCATGTGTCACCTCAGCCCTGTATGCTACCAGTGAGGTGCCAAGTCTGCGCTCGCGTCGCACGCCAGGCCTCTGATTTTAATGGACTCCAGTTCTTGTGGACTCTCGCCCTTCTTTTTGTTTATGTTGATCTCGATGGACGCCAAAGGGGAAAACCGGCCGCGCCGCTGGTGGCCCTTCGCTTTTTTTGGCACACTCGTCATTGACACCTACAAGCTTCGGAGTTCGATGGCCCAGAATGTTTTTTTCTTGGGCAGCCTTTAAGGACATGGGGACTTCGGTCCACCAACCATTCAAGGGGCACCCTTCTAGGGGTACCTTCCCCATTCTTGCCGATCAGGGATCCTTCTTTCTAGAAAACCTCCGGAAACCCAGAGAAAACGGATCCGGTTTTTGGAAAGAACGATGCTTGAAAAGAATGGAGAACCAACCCCTAGAACCCAAGAAAAATTTCGACTTGGCCGCGGCACATTTCTGAAACTACCTTCTTGCTTTAAAAAAAACCGAGACCCGACATTTTATTCCAGACCTGCTCATGTACCACGGCCCATTGAAGCGCCCACCCCAGGCCAACGCGCTTTCCCCTTGCGCGCCTTAGCGCCACCAGGGTGGGCTGTACAGCGGCGACACGCAGCGCCTGCGGGCGGAGGTTCACAAGCTGGACGGGGAGCCATGTGGCTGTTGTCGAAACCGTTAAACGGGATCCCATTTTGGGGTAGGTAAATTCACCGCCCCCTGCAAGGGGCGTCCGTTTTTATCTCACCCTCTAGGCCCAAACCGACGTATCAAAGCGGCAAAATGGCTTGGTTGACGTTGGAAGGGGAGCAAACACATATATCATTGTTTTAGCAGATAAGTGGTGGGATTTCAAGCACTAAACTGCAATAAGCAACAATGCAAGATGTTTCTC